AGTAAAAACCCGTCTACCCCTCATAATAATAAGAGAGGCCGCTGTTTTCTGCTGATAGACAGGATCAAGTAGCAAACTCGCTAATGGAATGGGGAGGATGAAAATAAATGACGGAATAGGAAAATCAAAGGCTGGCCCGCCCGAGATGAAAACAGGATACAAAAACAAACTGGGGAGGTTGGGAATCTCAACATGGATCATAACAAAAGAGAATTCTAGGAAGAACATTTATTCAGATTAACAAGGAAAATATAATAGTGCCTAACTTAACGAGTGAAGGGTGAAACCCGCCCGTTGCATGAAGGGGACTTAAGAGAGAAAATTATAGCTAGACCCGTTCACACGAACCAGGCTCGCCTCAGTCACCCACCTTTCGCTGAAATCTGTCGAAATCAAATGCTTTTTATCAGATCTGATTTTTACCCTAAACTGATATTTAAAAAAAAACAACCTGATCCTGATGCAAATAACGTTCATCTCGCAACATTCCCTCCTGTCGCGACGTCCAAACCACCATTCTTGCCACGGCTAGCAAAGTCAAAAACACCATCCGTTTTACCCCGGAGAGAGATCAGGAGCGATAGGAGTCGTCAACTCGCCGACATAATCCCAGAAAGGGTGCACATGAGGGAAATGGAAGAAGGCGTGCGAAGCCGCTTCCTCTAAGTCAAGATCACACCAATGACAGTCGGGCAAATCAGCCACGCCCCATCTGAAGTTTATGTCATTGTCAGTAGCACATTCCAAATGAATCGCCAGCTAAGTGAAAAACTCAGGGTTGCTGAGCTCCCAAGACCAGAAAGAGTGCAAAACTGAAACCGACAAGCCGAACCGGCCACACAGAAGATCCTTCGCGATACAATAGCTTCCGAGGCCGAGAAAGGTCACTCGACCGATGAAAGACCTTCACACGCTGCGAAAATGCGACAACCTTCCACGACCGCAACAGCGTTTCACCCAATATATGGGAGGAGTGATGGTAAGGCTAGGGAAGGCGTCCCAAATACTCTTTGCCCAAATTGATTCCTCCGTCAAAACGCGGCGTAGGAAAGCCAAAATTGAGGCGTGTCAATGACTTGCCAGGTGTGGCAATCCCAAGCACCCCATGACACGGACGGACACTGGAAACTGACCCGATGTGATCACCCCAACAAAAGTTCGATCGCCTCCATACGGGTCCTGCAAAATACAGCCAAGCGATAAAGGATGACAGGCATGACGTGACACACACCTCAGCTCTACTGTTAAAGGACAACCTCCTACGAAGCCAAGTCCGGATCGACGCTCCAACCTTTGCCTATACCTCTGACCAATTCTTCTTTAGCTGAAGTCCGGGCCTTAATCACACGCGAAGAATGCGGACGGGTTTATCAGGCTAATCAAAAGGCCTCGGATGCGCTACCCACTTCCAGGCAACTAACCGTAAGCCGAAAATTTGTTACGGTTAACCCTAGCCTCCGTCACCTTCTCATACCGTTCAAGCGCCTTCTGTGCCATCTTAATGTCGCTGCGGGACGACATGAAAATAGATACGACACCCTGGCTAGAGCTCCACCAAGGAGAGCGATTCCGCGTAGGGTAGGACTGTTTGCCCTGTACCTCAGCCGGCGATGGATGGGCTCCAACATAGCGTAATGTAAGGGTGACAAAAGTGAACACTATCGGACCAACCGAGAGAGCGCAAAAGAACCCGACCGCGTACCGTTCATCCGTACCACAGCACTGGGGAAGCGATACAGGAGGCTGATCCGCATAAGTCAGGTTCGAATCCGGCGGCCTGCAGAACAGCAGCCAGGTATCGATGGTCGACAGTTTATAAATTCCAGTTTCATAAGGTCTAATTAGTTTTTACAAGCTTTCGTCTGTTCCTACAGACATACTCAGTTATGGAAATAAATTTGTTCTTGTTTTTACTTCTTGGTAATAAGAGGACAACGAAAATATACATGTTTATAAACAGAGATCATATCATTCATATACGGGCTCGGGGTTAGTGTACTTTATTGAAATTGTTTGCGAAGATGTATTCTCGCCATTTAAATCATTAACTTCTATATTTGTTTTTTGTATGAATGATTCATGTAATTATATGTTGAATAGCACCTATAATCGAAATTAAAATTACTGATCCAACGTGCAACTTTCGGATAATAAGTGTGACATTCCTGTAATTATTAAACAATATAGTTCATGCCACATTGACGGAAAACCTACCAGTAAAAAAGAAATATCTTATTCCTTTATTTGTACAAAAACGCACAACCTTAAAATTTAAAATTTAAACTCAGCGTTGCGACCGCACGTTCCAAAACAATAACACATTTCTCATAGCATTTTTTCGGATTACATCTCTATTTTCGTTGTCCTCTTATTACCGAGAAGTAAAAAAAGAGAACAAATCTATTTCCATACCTGAGGATGTCTGTAGGAACAGATGAAAGCTTTTAAATACTAAAAAAGACATTATGAAACTGGAATTTATAAACAGGGATCATATCATTCTTATACAGATTCGGGGTTAATGTATCTTATTGAAATTGTTTGCGAAGATGTATTCTCGCCATTTAAATCATTAACCTTTATATTTGTTTTGTATGAATGATTCAATGATATATATATATATATATATATATATATATATATATATATATATATATATATATATATTGTTTGGGTATCAACCAATTAGTAGGTTCAATCTTTTGTAAACAGACTAGCAGGCAAAGTAGTAACGGAAACGGGGGTTAGAAATCCAACCTCCCCCTCGCAGCAGCAGAAACGCACTTTCAATCACCAAGTTCAAAATCTTTCTTCTCCCGATAAGGAAAAAGTAACGGCCTTTATTCACCGAGCGATTTTTCTGAGTGGCCGCACCAGACAGCGAGGAAAGAACATATATTCTCTGATACTTAAGTAGCAGTTTCTATAGCTAATAATTTTCTTTTATTTTCCTTCGGCAGACCACGCACTAAACACGAATTTCGAGGTGATTTTCTCTTTTGTTACACTCCCCGCAGCCACATTGGTGACACACAGAGGAAGGCTTTTTTTTTTCAATTTTGAGCTTCTCCAGAGCGGGGCAATTACTGGAGGGGACTGAATGGTATGTTCTGAAGACTCGAGTCTTTGACAACGTCATCTACAGACTTTACCATCTGAAGAGATACTGGCCGAAAATTAGTTCTTCTGATACTTAAAGTAGCATTTTTTTTTTTTTTTTTTTTTTTGTTTTTTGCTAACAATTTTCTTTAATTTTGCATCGGCAGACAACACACAAAACACGGACTCTCTTTCGAGGTAGGTGATTTTCACTATCGTTAAAAAGTCTACGCTCCGACAGAAGCAATTTCCATTGGATAGATCCGCCCTCCTCCTCTACAAAACACAACACTCGTTTCCTCGCCAATGTCAACAGGTGGCGTCTTTTACAGCTAACTATGGGGAGTGGTCTATAAAAGTCACGTCGTAATTTCTCTTTTTTTTACATTTGGATTTTTACAATGTCACCGTCGGTCATAAATAAGGGAAGACATTAATTTTAACAATCAAACAAGAACAGAATACAAATAGAAAATGACTTCAATAAATATACAAAAATAGAAAACGGCGTAAGACAAGGATGTGTCGTCTCACCAGACTTATTCAAATATTACATTGATCCTGAAGGAATTAGAAGTACTACCAGCATTCATTATAACCGGTTTAACAACATAAATTATACAGATGACAAAGATTGGATATCAGACATAAAAAGGAAAATACAAAAGGAAGAAAAGGAAAGCGAGAAGAAAGGACTAAACATCAATTATAAGAAGACAGAATGCATGGTTTCTAGAAAAAAGAGACAAATGAGGACAACAGTCCGAATAATGTAAATAGAATAAATAATTACAATATCTCATCTCTGAAAATATAGACAGATACTGAAGAAGGGCGGAGCATACAACGGCCGAAACGTCATGAATATGGCAATAAAGATGAGGACAACAGTCCGAACAATGTAAATAGTGTAAATAGTTACAATATCTCATCTCAGAAATAGAGACAGATGTTGAAGGTGACTATGGCAATAAATATTACGACAACAGTCCAAATAATGTAAATAGTTACAATACCTCATTTGAGAAATGGAGACAAATGTTGAAGGTGAATATGACAATAAAGATGAGGACAACAGTCCAAACAATGTAAATAGTGTAAATAATTACAATATCTTATCTGAGAAATAGAGACATATGTTGAAGGTGAATATGGCAATAAAGATGAGGAGGAAAACAGTCCGAACAGTGTAAATAGTGTAAATAGTTACAATACTTCATCAGAGATAGAGACAGATCCTGAAGAAGGCCGGAGTGTGCAACGGCCGAAACGTCGTGAATAGGCAAATGTTAACACATCAATCTTCTTTTCCTCCTTTTTTTTTTGTTTGTTTGATGTAATAAATCGCCGACAGCTATGACAGCTATGACTAAATGACTTGTCCAGATGTATTTTCCATCTCGCTGCATTTTCTATGACATTGTTCTCTAGCAAGAAAATGCTTGTATATCCTACCCTCTGGTCACGTCTTGTCGCCGGGGGAAATTATTTCTGCTTTTTCATCACGGGCCTGACCTTTTCGGCGCACGCCAGGGATATCCCAGCGTGTTTCTCTCGATGCACTCGGGAAAACCCAATAGAAAATCGAATTCCGTATTTAAGAAATTGAAACCTCATTAAAATGATTGTATATTATTATTATTATTGATATTATCATTATCGTTATTATACGATCAGCAAACACAGCAAAATTTGCTGGAATTATAAGCAAATGGACTTTGGTGGCGCATTTTGCACCATGATTCGAGAACTCTTCAGAGTATACGAACATTCCCAAGTACTGCAGTCTTTTCATAATGTCCAATTTTGATACTGATACCTATCTACTTCAACTCGGAAGTATCTATGGTGCCCAGAGCATCAACGTTTATAGCGGTTACATCCACTCTTCACTGGTTGGCTTATGGCCATATCACGTTGAAACACCGATTCATCTACGATCACTGAAGTTAAACAACGCCGATCCTGGTCAGTACCTGTATGGGTGACCGCTTCGGAATACCAGGAGCTAAACAATTGAATTAAAGTACCAAGCGCTGTTCCAAAACAAATTTTGCTTGAAGATGGAACAGAGCTTGGTACTTTAATTCAATTTAATTCAAATAATTATATTGAAGTTTTCGGGTCTTGTTTTTGAAACATGAGAACTCTTATGTAGCGTTGAATCATATTTTTAAATAAATAATTATATATATATATATGTGTGTGTGTGTGTGTGTGTGTGTTTGTGTGGTGTGTGTGTATGTATATATATATATATATATATATATATATATATATATATATATATATATATATATATATATATAAAAACAGAGCATTTACTTAAATATTTGTATCTATAAAAAGAACGTGTAAACATAAAAATGTCTTAAAATAATTGTCTGGCTTTGTCCATCAATATATATATACATTTATTTTTAGCATCAGAAACGCAAAATTCATAATCCTATCCCCTAAAACACTAGTTACAAAATTTGAAAATGAATTAGATTTTCCCTAATACTAGGGTCTTTACCTCGAAGACAATTAAATCTAATAAGGAAGAAAGATTAATCCTACAGTACCTCAGATACCGGTTTTTGTCAGTTAAATAAATAAATATTTTACCAGATATAAACACTGGGAAAAAAACACTATATGACATAAACAAACATTATTAAAAGCATTCTTAAAGAATATAATTTATGTTTATCTATCACGTAAAAATGCCTCCAGATCGACATACGACAACCATCAAAGAAAACACACACACACACAAAACACACGCACGCACGCACGCACACGCACGCACGCACGCACACCCACACACACACACAAACACGCACGCACGCACAAACACACGCGCAAACACACACGCACGCACGCACGCATACGCGCCCGCACACACACACACACACACACACACGCACGCACGGGCGCGCACAGACACACGTATGCACGCACATACACATACACGTACACGCACGCACGCACACACGCACAAACACATTTTTTTATAAACTTACATCTAAGGTGCGATGGGTAAATTGTCGCCCTTTTATACATTTAATTTCGCGCCTATCCGTTCTTTCTTTTTTCATTTTGTCAAGTGCACACTATAACAGGGTCAGTTGTCCACCGCCTTTGAGAAAAAGAGTATTATGCCGAATTTCACTCCATCAAACAACATTCCCTACATCTTGGCATTCGCGCTGGAAGCTCCATTTCGGATATTTCAGTGCATTTGGGTAAAATTAGGACAGTCCAGTGTATTCGGAAAGAGATCGATGAGTCTACTGGTGATTACTAATGTACGGAGGCAGGGATAATTTCTGATCGTTCTGATAAGGAAAGAACTCCCGAATTTGTTGGTGAAGGCTTCAGACACAACCCGATGGCCTACGTCAAGTATCTTGAGGAGATAGTGCTGTCCTGCGTCAAGAGGGTGCCTGCGGACAAACCTATCTCTGCCAACGGGAGTCTGCACCATGTAACACAAGCAGGAGAACCCAGTGATGGCTGTCAGATAATTTCCCTGGCCGCATCACCCCTTACATCTGACCACCTAACTCTCCAGACAGAAACCGCCTTAATTATTATGAGTGGGGTGCATTTGACGAGAGACTAACAAAATCCTTCTAACGCCAAAGATGATCTGAAGACGAGGATTATGGAGGCATTCACTAGCTTATATATAGGGGCCGTCCTGAAGAGTTGCAGGAGATTCCGAAGTCGTCTGGAAGCCATAGATGGGGCCAATGGCGATTGTGTTGACAAAATTTACTCTTTCTATTTTCAGGATATTTGTGTGTCATTTTGCTAAATATATCTGTTAAAATGAGATGCCAGTGTTATTTTCATTTTGGCGCCATTTAGGCGACAATTTATCAATCACACCCTGTCTTTCTGTTAAAATGAGATGCCAGTGTTATTTTCATTTTGGCCCCATTTAGTCGACAATTTATCCATCGCACCCTGTCTATCTGTTAAAATGAGATGTCAGTGTTATTTTCATTTTTGCATCGTTTAGACGCCAATTTATCCATCGCAACTTATGTAAGAAGACTTTCAATGCAGTTTGGTAAAAAAAATAGAGCGAAATAAACGACCCCCCCCCCCGCCAGCCAAATACGAGCGATAACCGACGATCATGGAGGCTTAATCACATTTTATTAATCCGGAAAACCCAGGTTATATAATGTGTCCGATTAGGAGGAAAAGGGGCTAAGCATAAGCATTTAGTTGTACTGACGCTCATCTTGTCGAGAGCACCTCTCTGCGGCTGCTCGGTCTCACGTTCACGGCTGACCTGAGATGGAACAAATACATTGAGTCAATTGCTTCGTCCACCGCAAGGAAAGTTGGCTCCCTGTGCCGCGCCAGGAAATTTTTTCTCCCGGAATCGATCCTCCAGATCTACAAATCAACAATTCACCCTTGCATGGAGTATTGCTGCCATATATGGTCTGGAGCCACTTCTGTTTGCCTCGGTGTTCTTGATAGGCTCCAGAGGCGGATATGCAATATAATTGGCCCTGTTCTGGCATCTCGTCTACCGTCACTTTCTCACAGACGCGCCGTCGCCTCTCTCTGTCTGTTTTACAAATACTTTCATGGTAAATGCTCCGAGGAGCTGCATTCGCTGGTTCCCAGACTTCATAAATTCAAGCGCCCTACGAGGCTGGCATCCCGCTCTCACCCTTTCATTGTCGAAACTACTAAATGTAGCCGTCTCTTCTACTCCAATAGCTTCATATCTCGCACCTCTCGCCTGTGGAACTCCCTTCCCTATTCCAGTTTCCCTGAGAGCTATAATCTCCAACTATTCAAATGTAATGTCAATCGACATCTCCAGTTGCCTTGATCTATCCACTATCCTTCTCCTCATCCTTTCTTCTATCACTCCTATCTGATCTTGCTCCAAATTTTCTGTAACTCCTTGCGTCCTAGTGGCTTTCCGCCTTGCTTGGGGTGAAACGCTTAAAAAAAACACAAAGGACTTCGGACTTCACAACATTTAGAATAGGTTAATTGATTATTTGAACCGAGTTTTTAAGATCATGACGATATGTTCGTTTTTACTTTGTTCAATATTTTGAGCTTTGATAACTTTGCCTTTTCGACATTATGTCCATTCGGCATTTAATCAGTTTGAGACGTTGTCCATTCGACATTCTGTCCATTCGACATTCTGTCCATTCGACACTTTGTCCATTCGACATTCTGTCCATTCGACATTCTGTCCATTCGACACTTTGTCCATTCGACATTCTGTCCATTCGACACTTTGTCCATTCGACATTCTGTCCATTCGTTCTTTTTTTCCTTCGACACTTTATTATTTGACACTCAAGCATACTACCTCTTTTTCTCCATATCTCATTCTCTGATGAAGCTTTGTTCTTTTATTTTATCGTCTTTTATCATTAACACACACACACATACACACACCCACAGTGTTAGACATTTTCATGACGGTCGTCTTCGAGTATAGAATCCAGAGGTTGGCAGTAAATATTTCGGAGACAGTAGGAAAGCGTAGTGCAGGTTCGCAGTGGATATCGCAACAAAGTAGCAAAGCGTAGTTCTTCCGTCTGTCATGTTCGCCGGACAAGCTGCCTCTGGTCATTCCGGTGGGAAAACAAAGATGGCCGCCTTTATACACGACGGATACAGTGTTGTGCGGCTTCTGATTGGTCAACCTTCTATTGGTTGGCTATAAAGGAATTAAGTCATTTTGACTCGCTCACTAGTTACTTACATATATACACAAAAAACCGTAACAACACACGCACAAACACACACACACACACACACACACACACATATATATATATATATATATATATATAAACCTGTTAAATTTAGAGAGCCAGATAACATAACAGACCTAAGCGGATCGTCAGGAAACGCTGACGATCCGCTTAGGTGAAACCTTGGTAGGTTTGTCTGGCTCTCTAGGTTTAACTAGGTCTGCTCTACTTATTGTATTGAGCACTTCATTTAGTTATTTTGCTTACTCGTATCGGTTTTTTTTTCTTTGGACTTTGGACTTGGATGCTAGACGATTATTTTCAACTGACATACATATTCTTGTTTTTTTTTTTCTTTTTTCTTATACCCTTTTTTTCCCTTTGGTATTGGTTTGATTATTTGCAAATCAAGACACCGAAGGTTTTCAGGACGAATATCTGTTGTCTTATCAAATGATTATGTTGAATGCAGAATAAAGGGTTTTAAAAGGTTCAAATCGACCAAACACCCCTCGTTAGGGGAAATGCTGTTACATAAGCTGGAATGACCAATCAAAATACAAGTATACGAGAATTCAAAAAACTTGACAAGGAACTTTGGTTATAATAATTAATGCTTTAATGTTAGGGTTAGACTAAAATAGAAATCCTTCTAATTAATTTTAAATTTTACTATAAAACTGAAAATTAAAAATTACCAATTTTAAAAGAAGAAACTGAGGAAAAATAAATATGTTTTGTTATTAATTTTCTTTTTATTGAAAGGCCAAAAATTTAATTTAATGTTGCTCTGAGCTTCGTTACAACTTAGATACATTTGAAGTAGTGATATTGGCAGGCGAGGATGAAATCTTGCAAAAGACAATACATAGACAATCAGATTATAATACCCAAACACGCAGACATATTTAGATATATAAACCCGCAAAAAGCGAACAAAACAGGAAATAGATGTCCACGACCATTAAAAAACCGATAATATATACATACAATGAAAGGCATATATATAAGCGGCCATACACGCATACATTGATAGAGACACACACACATATACCCACCAAGAAATATTCAAATTTGAAAGTGTTAGTAAACGAATTCAAAAATACTATTAAAATATAACTTATACGGGCAAAGATATATAGATAAAAATTGTTTAATAAATAAAATTTATTATAGATAGAATAGAAAAACAAATATTCGTCAATGAACAACGTTATGAAAAAAGACACTAAAATATATAGAAATGGATAGAAAAATAATTATATACACATACAC